ACAATCAGTCAGTCAGTAAGTCTTTTAAATGTCTTCTTAAAAACAACTCTAGTTGAATGCTGTGTGGGAGGCACTCCTCGTTTAGGTTACTAAAATTGGTCATCTTAATCCTCTTCCTCAAAATTGACTTCTGGATACCCTAAACTTGCATATCACCCATTGTATTATACACCAAAATATCATGGGCATCATCAGCCAAGGTGCTCTCCAGCCCCCTCCCCCCACTATTAATAGAACAGATCATTTCTGTCACTTCCTCATGTATATACTCCTTCACTCGTCCTAATGAAGACTTCACAAAGCACTTCCCCCCTCCAAACAGAGCCATTAAAATAAAATGTTTATTTGCCAAAGCAAAGTTCTTAGCTTAGCACCTTGCTACACCTGTCATATATAAAACATGATGCATCTTTATCATCAAAACATTCAGTCTGGCTTTAATAGCCCTATTATGTTATGTGACCGACCAAGGGATTTCTGCCTGCTAAGCTGGCATCCCCCCTCCTCCCTTTGCTTTTGTTAGGCACTCAGTAACAGTTTTTGGTTTATGGTTGGCCAACGGTTTCCTTTGCCCATCATATCTACAATTGTGACAATGTCTGGCATGATTGGAAGCTTGAAGGAAAACCACAACAGAATGGCATGCCATTCACTTCCACACCCCTCTCCAACCACAGACAGATACAGTTACTGGGTTTGACTAACGGTTATCAATCAGCTGAACTGTAAGCCCTTGGGAAGATAACCAGTCAGAAAAACAGAAGGAAGGAGCAAGTTAATATGAACCATAAAAAAGTATATATAATGAAATGTGGTTGTTAACCTCATGGAACTTCTAAAATGTTTTTCTATTTAATTATTTTCAGCTTTAAATCTGTTACTCAGGGAAGTTCCATTCATTTTGATTCTATGATGCAGCAATATTTCCCAAATCAGGCCTGAAATAAGTAACCCACATAATGTGAACATATATCTTTAATAATCTGCATACATACATTTTTAGAAATCTATTTAAGTATTAGACTAATAAATAATAAAGGTGCTGAGAGGAAACATAGCTAATATTGCCTGCAGAAAAATCGCAATGTACTTTACAATAACCAAATACTTATTGTCAATGTTACCTTTTGAATCATATCATTCAATTAAATAATGCAAAATTTATCACTCATTTCTCAACAAAATAAATCTGATCTGCAAGTATGAAGGAAGAATAAGAACAGATAAAAAAAGAAAATAATAAAGTAAAAAAGAAAAAGGATATAAAAACAGGAAAACCTGCAATTATAACCCAGTCCTAATTATGGTTATATAAGGAAATAGAGGTGGCTTCAAACAAATAGATGAGCAAAGTCTCTATGAGGTTATTTATTTTAGAGTGTTGACCTAGCCCAGGGGTAGGCAACCTTGGCTCTTTTATGACTCGTGGACTTCAACTCCCAGAATTCCTGATGCTGGCTCAGGAATTCTGGGAGTTGAAGTCCACGAGTCATAAAGAGCCAAGGTTGCCTACCCCTGACCTAGCCATATGACAAGATTACTATCTATTGGTTCCATATTTCCTAAAATAATGAATTACATTCCAACATGTAGCATGTCAAAATATCTGCATGAAAAGGACAAAAATATGCCATTCCCATCCCATTATGCAGTGATGAAATCATCATGTAAGACTTCTCCTGAAGCTAGCTTCTTTTTTGTCCTAGTAGTTTCTTTGCATCAAATTCCAAATTAAATCAGCTCTGATTTAACATGTAATTCTATGTAATAAAGGATTAAAGAGAATGATTTCTGTACCTGAATATAAGAATATGCCCCCAGTTGTCTATATTTTTAATGAAAACTTACATATAATAGAAATATAGAAATAATTGGACATCCACTCTTTTTAAAAATTAATTTAAAATCCATTGTGGGAATTTTAATGTTTTAAATCAGTGTAAATATATTCATAGCTATGTATCATTTTTGTTGCCCCCAATCCAAGAAGGATACATCTGCAGCTATGTTGAACTTTGTCCTATTAATTTCTAAATATTTTATATGAAGAGATTGTGTTCTTCTCATTCAATTAGAAAACATCTAGATAGCACTTTATCTTCCCTTTAAGCCTTTCTGTCTTATGGGTATAGAGATATATTAGTAACTGATGAGCTAATCCTAAACAAGGTTTCAATTCATTCCCTAGACAGGTGGCCAGTCTATTAGATTATCTTTTTTAATTTTGATTCCAAGTTCTGAATTTCTACCATAAGTCTGAATAAATGCAGGCCTCTAATTTAACACAACAACCTCTCTATGTAATAGGATAACAATGACAGCTTGAATCATATTTGATTGCCAGACAAAAAGGCAGCAAGGCATACTAATTTGCAGAAAAGCAATATTTTTGGCATAGTCTTAAGTCTTTGCCCCAGGGTGCACAACAGAGCTGGAAAAGAAACTTTTAGATTCAGAAATGTAATATCAATGTGAAAGAAAATCAGCCAGTATATTCTGTGAGGAAAACATTTTGCCCATATTTGAGAATCATTAGATGGTTTTGTTCACATAATATATTCATCCAATTTCTGAATTAGTCTATTTTGAGGACGAATGTAGAAGGCAAAACTTTGCTAAGTCATTATGTATTTCATCTGTCAATACATCTGAAAGCATCTTAGACCAAAATCTGGGTCTCCCTGGAATGATGTTACCATGTGTATATTCAAAATGGTGAATTGCGCATACATGAAGCTTAAAGTAAATTACCTGTGCAACAAGGGGCTCTGAAATAAGTGTGCATGCTTGCTGCCACTAAGTTCAACAAGTGCCTGAACTCTGATGAACGGCTGTTTATATTGCATGGTATGGTATGGTATGGTATGGTATGGTATGGTATGGTATGGTATGGTATGGTATGGTATGGTATGGTATACTCTCTATACTCTAACAGTCACCATCACACTACTTGTAAGATACTGTGCCTCCTGCCATTCCTTCATTCTTCCCATCTGCTAATTTTCTGCACTACCATCATTTTATCACAAATCCAAACCTGAACAGTGGTCAATTAATGCCACAAAATTAGCTAACCAAGATTTAAAGAAACAAAAATAGCCATATTGCAAATCCAACCATCAGACCTTGAATAGTGATCTACTGAACAATGCCTTAGAATTCTGTGTGAAAATACCCAGTAAATTGTATCGGTTCAGAACCTAGAAATTTAGAAACTAAAGGAAAAATCCAGAATAGTAAATAATTGATAGGCATAGATTCTTAAAGCCAGAAATGCTTGTTCAGGCCTAGTAGGAGTTTTAAGCATTGAAACATTTCAGACAGGTAGGAAAAGACATTTAGAATAGTATTCTGGCATAAATATCAACTGTTTGACTTGTTTACTGAACATAATGTCAACAGAATTAGTACTTAGTCAACACACTGAAATTATTTTTTTCAGTTTGGAATCTGGTTTGACAATGTTCCACTCTTCACTGACTGAACCTTTTCCTTATAATCTTGATACATATTAAGATTCCCTTTGCTAAATTCCCATTTCTCCTCCTAGACTTTCCTTTTGGGAACAGATTGTATGAGATTTATTAACATTCTCCATCTGTCAAAATCTTTGCTGAGGGCCAAGTAAACTATGTCTACATTATTCTGAAAATCTACTCTGCTAGCAATTCTATCAAATGAGATAAAGTAGTATCTTACAGGATCACAGACTCAGATAACATAAAAAGCAACATAATCCAAGTGATAAAATGTCCTGTGATTATGCCACATTATTGTAGTTCAGTTTGCTAACAACAAACTCATGCTGGCTCCTGTTAACTGTAGCGTTCCTATCCAAATATTCACAAATATACCACTTGAATGTGTTTGAAGACCTTGTCCAATACAGCGGTCAAGCTGATAGGACTGCAGTTTCTGAAGTTCCCATTTTTTCTCCCTTTTGAAGATGGTAATGACATTTGTTTTCCTCCAATCTTCTAGAATCTTACAAATCCTGCAAGAATTCTCAGAAATTACTGAGAGTTGTTTGCAGTAATCTCTATTAGTTCTCTCAGTAGCCTGAGATATTATCTATCTAGATCTGGAGATAATTCTCTTATCGTTTTATCTCTCCTAAGTTGCAGGTCCCTCTTCCTTCCAATGGCATAATGATTAGTTAAAAGTCCAACTCTATTCTAAGGACAAAACACTATTAAAAGTAAGCTGCCATGAAGATTAAACAAACAATTCCAAATAAAAATATTTAATGCATATTATTTTGCTCTCAAAACAATAAGCAAGTAGTTGTAGAATTGACAATGTATGTAAACAGTTGGTAATCATTTAAAATTGTATTACTTCAACTGCTTCCAGTTCTAACCTATTAAATTTAGCGTTTCATAAATTTAGAATTTGTGTATTTCAGAAACTTAATTCAATTTTAATATCATGGAACAATATTTTAATTTTAATATTTGGAAATAAAATTGTTTCTAAATTAGATTCACATTTGAATGTTACAAAGGAATGGATGAAAACAGAGGGTGGTAAAGAGCAGAAGAGATGGGTACTGCAGGTAGCCAGTATTTCTTTCGCTCACTATTAAATCTTCTAACAATTTCAACATTTTGGAATCATATCTGAATATTATTTTGGAATATCTTTCCTAAAGACTTCCCATGGCTCCTGCTTTACAACTGTTCAATGTCAGGTTCTAACATTTTTATTTTCCAAACTTCCCCAAAGTGCACATATTCCAGCCTGCCTTGACATTTTTTACTTGTTGTTGCATCATGAATCTCAGAACTATATTGTTTTAAATAATATGTTATTATTATATTATTGCATCATTCTAAAAACTGGTGTAGTGAAGACATTTTAAGTAAATTAATCAATCAATACATTAAGCAAAATAACAATGCATGTAATAGTAGTATTATGTTATAGTATAGATTATATAGTATAGATATAGTATGAAACTATTTCCCCCCCAAATATAAAGGCTTTAAATTAGTGCTTACTTGCGACGGAACATTTCTGCAAATATGCAACCTACACTCCAAAGATCAACTGGTGTTGCATAACTGGATTGAAGCAGAACTTCAGGAGCTCGGTACCACAAAGTAACAACCTGCAAAATAAAAGGTAAACTATTAGGAATATGGTTTAATTAAAAAAATTCCCAAGAAGCAGGAAAAATATCTCTTTGTTTTTCTAACATATATTCCTGTATTTCTAAATTGCAAGCTTTGAAGGAAGATCTTTGTGGGAAGTATCCATATATTAATTATATTATTAATCAATTGTTTGATTATTTTTTTTGTATTTTGTTCTATACTGAAGTAAAAAGGAAACATTTTATTTCTCAGGATGAACAAATGTTTTCTATAAAATTATAAATGAAAAACTTTAGGAATGCTTCCAGATAAATGATATAAAGGCTATTAATTAAAAATTATTGGACAGCAATTATTCTATTTCATATTCCTTCATGTATTTTTTACATTAGGAAATAGAGGAAATAGTAAAATTTAATGTTAAAGGACTGCACAATAAACCTTTGATCTGGAAGCACCACAGGAAATACAGTCTGCGACAGTTTTTCTGAGATGCACATATTGATAAAAGTTTGAAGAAGTTACATATGAGAAGAGGAAAATATAATTGCAGTCTTAAAAATTTGTACTGTTGAATTTAATTTTTTTTTCCTGAAGACATTACTTTTAATTAAAGTAATAGTATCAATCTCCTAGAAAAAATATTTCTCAATGTAGAGGTCATCTGAAATTAGATTAAAACATGCAAAACATATATAAAGTAGATGTTATGAAGTAATAATTATGGGAAATGCAATGGTATTATTTAGACAAAGCCTTAAAAACTTTGAGCATGTTAGTCTCATACCTGTTTTAGAAACAATTCAGTAATTTTAAGACAGAAGAAAACAGATGCTTCTAAATATATGTCATGTGAGGAATTGCAAACTGTTACTGAAACATGAACAATATAATTTACTGTAGCTAAACATGAATAAATTTAGCTTTTGTAATGTGTTTCAAATGATGAAGAAAAAGAAATAGGAAAATGGAGTTTATTTAAAATGAATAACAAACAGATGAAAACAGTCTTCTTAAGAAAACTCTTAAGTAGAGAAGGCATTTCCATACTACTACAGGTGTGGAAGTGCCTTTGATTTACAACCATTTGTTTGGCAACCACTAGAAGTTACAATAGCACTCAAAAGATGTCTTACTGAGGAAAGAGAAAATGGTTTACATGTAAGGGGTACCGAGCTGATGCTCTGCAAAAGAGAAAAGGCTATGCTCTGGTTTTAAACACACTAGCACAGAATGAGAAATAGATTGACTTGGTTCCCCAAGCCAGGTGAAATCATGTGATTTGGAACAGTTTCAGAACAGTACAAGCTCACATATGAACATGTCTGAGATTGTATCCATAGAACTATTTCAATTGCACTGAAAGCCCCAAATGACACTTCACAGTTTTCAGTCACTCTTTTCTTCATTCCTCATGTAAAGATTTATGACCCTTGCATCTACAATTACAGTTGCTCAGAATAATCAAAATCTCAAAAGGAGTGAATGCAACAAATAAACAGGAGAGAAATTGATTTCTGAAGTACCTATAATGGAAATCATTATAGAATATTTTACTAGGTGAAATATTGAGAATTTTTCTTCCTCTTGAAAGATGTCAAATGGACAACTACATTGTAGTTTTCTTCTAGTTTAATGAAAATTAATTTCTTTTTAGAAATTTAGGAAAAGATACTTCAGTTTCTGCTTCCTGCAGTAAAATGAGTGGACAATAAATTTGATGGATGGATGGATAGATAGTTGTCTAGAGCAGATGTGTCCAACCTGTGCTGCTCCACAAGATATAATAAAAAAATAAAGGAAGCTTGTTATTTATATGTTAGTTATATTATATTATACATTATATGTTTTATATGCGGTCCAAGACAATTCCTCTTCACTCAATGAAAGCCAGGCAAGCCAAAATGTTGGACATCCATGTTCTAGGTCTATGTTTGCCACAATAAAAGTCATACTAAACCATGCAATATTCCATACCCATTCACATAAATGTTTCCCCTTTCATGGCTTGCTCCAAAGAATAGCTAATATCATTCACAGTTTTTGCTTTTTTCAATCTCTTTAATATCACAGATGCCAATATGTAGGGAACATTTCAGCAATTTACAAAATTATATAAAATGGAAATGCGTTTGTAGATTTGTATTGTATGATACCATTTGGTTTATTTATATTTATATATTCTGCAGTATCTTTCACCAAGTGCTTTCCATAGATGTTGGATTTCAATAAGATCAGTCTTGAGGAGAACAATTTCTACTACAAATGCTATCTTAGCAGGGAAGGAAACGAACAATTTCACAGCACAAAATGTGCATTTTAAATGCTAAGAAAATATTTTCCCCAAAATGTATTATTCCTTAAAATATAAAAAAGAATCACATTCACAACAAAACTGATTGAAGAAAGCATTGATTGAAGGATAAGTCTCAGGATTTTTTTTTATAAAGTATAATTTAGATGAAACCGTGCATTAATTAATTAACATTCTGTCTAGGGCTGTTAGGTGTTATATTCAGAGGGCACCAAACTGAGGAAAGCTGATCATTTGTAACGAATGTAATTATCTCAGTATATATGAATACATTATGTTCAATGTTCAAGATGAGCAAAATTGCTCGCTTCAATTCAAGGAATATGACTGCAAAGAATAACCACAGATAAATGTTCTTGCTACTAAGAATGTTCTCTTGGGGGAACCCCCCCCCCCCGAGTGATCTGCATGATTCATTAAGAACATTTCCCTCTGTCTCATCCCCAAACCAAACAAAAATTTATGGATATTCCATTCAGTTACAGAGAAGCAGAAATGAAAATGATGCATAAGACAGGATATGGTGAATTCAACAGTTACCATAGAACTTCCTCTTCTGGATGGTTTTGATTACATGTTTTACTTATGTGAAACTTTTTGATAAAGGAAAGGCTCAATCTCTCCCCGCCCCCAAATAACACAGGGTCAAGCTGAGCAATGAAAGATCTTTCTTAAGGACAAAATTTGCAGTGAAAGGGGCAAGGTGGAGCCCATGGCGATAGTATTTTTTTAATGAAGGTCTTCCAAGACATGAACTCTTGTTGAATGCAGAATATATTTCTTTGCAAATAAAATTGTAGCCTAAAAGTGCAAACTCACTTTGATTGAATCAGTTGAAATCATTCCATTAACCAGAAGTCATTCTGGGTTCTATCTTTCTTGTGGAGTGGACATTACTATAACATAAAGCTACAATATATGGGCTTTGATATTGTTTGAGACAAAAGGATTCCATTTACTTCTTGGTGAAATTACAGGCAGAAGGAAGAGATTTAAAAATGACAATCTTATGCAAGTATCTTCCTACCAGTATTGCTGTTAGTATTATCTGTAGCTACTTCATTTATTACAAAATGGCTATTCAAATATTTGTATCTGATACTAGAACTAATGGAAGAGCCAGTAAGAAAGAGCCAGTGGTTCACACAGAGCAGGAGAAGCATGATGTTCTTTCCCAATGACCACAACCAGATTACTGGAACTACGATCACTAAGTGGTAAGGTCATGTGATGCTTTGCCTAAATGACCGCTTCGTTTAGCAATGGAGATTCCAGTCTCAAATGGGGTTGTTAAGCAAGGACTATCTGTAGCATTAAACTTCTATATTAAAATAACACTAAACTTCCAAATTAAAAATTATCATTTAAATGGATGGTATTTCTTGATGATAAAGGTTAGAGAAAAATGATTCTGGCTGCTTTACTCAGAAAACTCAAGTCAAAAGGAGAAGTATCTTGACATCCCCTTTGAATCTCAATATATGATTAAAGATAGTTTTTTCCCTTCAACTACTCCACTATATTTTTACTCAAACCTAGACTTTTTTGGAAGGGGGCATTTAGTGGCAGGAGTATTTTCCCCTCAATTACTCCACTATATTTTTACTCAAACCTAGACTTTTTTGGAAGGGGGCATTTAGTTGCAGTAGTATTGCAGGAACATAGGCCCTTCCTCAAAATCCCAATACCTGCCTTCATGTGGAAGCAATATTATAACCAATTACTCACTGCCTTCTGCTGTAGTGGACTAAAGACCCACAAAAGAATTTACAAAAGGTCTGAAACCCTTCCTACCCTGGTCTCTGATGACTGGATGGAAATTAAAGGGTTCACTGAGACTCTGAGGAGGCTCTTGGTGGAGTATCTTCTATTCCCTGAACCAAATGATCACATTGACTGGTGGGCTCCTTTATTCTCAGATTTATTAACTCACATAAGTAATTCCTGCCAAGGTCCAGATGGCTAGGAGCTCTCTATTTATGACAGGGGTAATCCTTCAAAATGCAGATCATTCAATTTTGTTGATATCACAGCAAAATTGCACGCCAACATCTTTTATACAAAACTGATGACTGGGTGGCTAAAAAAGGTTTGTTAGCTTAGAGAGTAGATTTATGTCCAGTAATTCTACTACTGATAATTGTTTAATTTCATGTCACCTAATAGAAAAATCTACAGCTAAAGAGAGCCAACTGTTTACAACATTCATAGACATCACTGCCATTTTTGACATGAACAATAGAACACAGACTTTTCTCTCTGGAATGACAGACATTATATTCAAACTCATGCTTAAAAGTATGCATAGGAGAACATGGTTCCCTAACAGGAAAAAATAGCATCAATAAAGGGCTAAGACAAAGTTGTATACTATTTCATATTCTGTTCAGTCTCTACATAAATTATATTACAAGTTCTTTCCATCAACTAAAATGCATATGCCTAAAGTTAAAACAATGTAAACATCCTGCTATATGTTCATGACATGATATTGAAGTCATTCACCCACATAGAGATGAGAAGATTGTTGCAAAGGATCAGTTCAGAATGTTAAAAGTTAGACCAAAGTAGTCATTTTCAGAAAAAGATAGAAGCCTGGACAGAGAACATATAGATCAGCAAGTCCTATCCATACTTACAAATTTTCTTATTTACTTAATTTTACTACAGTCATTAACTAGCACAAGAGAATTGGTACTC